ATTTGACACTGACTGTCTTACACTATTTAATTAAAGTGTAATTTGAGCGTATCAAATTTTGGTGCCGTTGCCAGGGAATACGATTTTGAAATTACTAATTAGTGTGTTCTTTACTTTACGTCTTATTCTATTCCTTCACACTTTGCTTGTTTTGCTTGGTGTTGATAGGAAAAAATGGCCAAATATGAGGATGAAATGGAAGAAAATCCTTTTGCGAACATAGATGAGTACATCGAGGATACAAATGCTATTGTACCTCCAATATTTGGCGCTGCAACTTTCAAGGTGGAACATGGTTTAATCCTAATGCTCAAAGCGGAGGGGTTTTTCAGGAATTCCACTGATGATGATTCGATACAAAATCTTAGAAACTTTTTGGGTGTGTGCGCGATGCATAAGCAGAGCAACGTCTCAGATGATGCCCTAAGGTTGAGGGTGTTCAAGTACTCACTAGCTGGGGACGCAAGGAAATGGCTTCAAAATATGCTGCCAAATTTCATTCATTCTTGGCCTGAACTTGTCCGAGCATTCTTAGCTAAATGGTTCCCGCAAAGTAAGAAATCTGAGCACCGGGATGAAATTTTTGTTTTCAATCAAGTACCAGGAGAACATCTATATGAGGCACGGGATTGATTCAAGTTATATTTGGTGAGGTCTCCTAATCATGGTTTTCCGGATTCTATCATGTTGGAGAAATTCCACATGGGTTTAGATGGTATGAAGCAATCTATAGCCAAGAATGCAGTTGATGGATCTTTTATGGATAAGACATTCGCAAGGATCACACAAAACATTGACAAAATGGCAAAACATAATCAAGCTTGGCACTCAGAGGACACCACAGATGGAATTGCATATGGTTCTCCCTACTTGACCAACATGATTAAGGAGAACCAAGAAAGAGATCAAGTAATTGCAGGGCTTGCCACCAATGTCATGTGTTGACAAAAATGTTCATTGAAAGCCAAACGAAGAAGGTAAATCTGGTGGAAGATGTTCAACCATCATCATGTGAAGATTATGAGGAAGCCAACTATGTCAACAACTCTCAAGGAGGCTATCAAAGGCAACAATACCAAGCTCAAGGACAACAAAATCAATGGAGGCCTAACCCGCAAGGGCAATGCAACCAACAGTGGAGATTCCAAGTTTGAAAGAATGCTTGAACGGGTATTGAAAAATCAAGAGAGGTACGACAATTCTATGAGGAATATGACCGAGCTTGTTGGTTCTCATACCGCATCCATTTAGAAAATTGGAGATGCAAATGAGAGATCTTTCTAGGGAACAAAATCCGAAGCAAAAAGGGACACTTCCAAGTGACACAATTGCGAACCTAAAGGGTAGTAGGAGTGGTCGAACTTCTCATTGCATGGCAATTACTAATCGGAGTGGTAAGGTACTACAAGGAGAGACTGAACAAGTGGTTGAGGTAGAAGAGTCCGAACAAGAGGTTGAGGTTGAAGAGCCAAGTGTTGTTGAACTGAGAAGGTTCCGGAAGAGTTGAAAGTTCAAGAAGTGAATCGGGAAGAGGTAAAGGAAAAGGTAAAAGAGACATCAAAAGCTATAACACCTATTCCTAGACCTCTTCCTCCTTTTCCTCAAAGACTTGCTAGGAAGGTTGATGTTAGCAAACTCGAAAAGTTCTATGACATTCTCAAGCAGTTATCGGTAAACATTCCATTCGTGGAAGCATTTCAAGAGATGTCGGGTTTTGCTAAATATTTGAAAGACTTGATCACCAAGAAGAGAATCACCAAAAATGAAGTGGTGAATATGACTCACCGAGTTAGTTCCATCATTACAACAACCACCGTTAAAAAAAAAAGACCCGAGAGCTTTCACTATTCCATGCACTATTGGGGCACAGGATTTTGAAAAAGCCATTTGTGATAATGGGGCTAGCATCAACCTAATGCCTCTTGCCATTTACGAGCAAGCAGGGTTAGGTATGCCAAGGCCCACAAGTATGAGATTGCAAATGGCCGATCGTTCCATAAAGAGACCGGTGGGAATTGTCGATGATGTGCTTGTAAAAGTGGGAAAGTTTCATTTACCCACCGATTTCGTAATCCTTGATTGTACAGTTGACAAAGATATCCCTATCATCTTGGGGAGACCATTCCTTGCCACAGGAAGAGCATTAATAGATTCGGAACGGAATGAGATCAAATTCCGTGTGAATGATGAAGAGATTACATTCAAAACAAGCAAGGGTATGAAACTACCACATGAATATGAAAGCATCTCGGTGATTGATATTGTTAATGAAGTGAAAGATGCGGCTGAAAAGAAAATGGAAGAACAATGCCTCGGTGAGGCATTAACGACTATTTTAGTAAACTTCGACGGTGAAGATATGTAGGGGTATATGGAATCAGTCAAGGAATTAGAAGGGCTTGGATCCTACACTTATGCTCCGAAGAAGCTCTCTCTCAACTTGGAGAATAGAGCCACTCCTCCCCCAAAGACTTCAATTATTGAGCCACCACAACTAGAGCTCAAACCATTTCCACCACACTTGAGGTATAAATTTCTTGGCTCAAATTATACTCTACCGATAATCGTGTCTTCTTTGTTGAATGATGTGCAAGTAGAACAATTGTTGAATGCCTTGAAAGAGCATAGAATCTATTGGGTGGACAATTGCAGACATTTGAGGGATTCCCATCGGAATTTGCGCACACAAGATCCAATTGGAAAATGAGATTAAACCATGTGTGGAGTATCAACGAAGGTTGAACCCTTCCATGCAGGAGGTGGTAAAGAAAGAAATCATCAAGTGGTTAGATGCCGGGGTAGTCTACCCCATTACCGATAGTTCTTGGGTAAGTCTGGTACAATGTGTGCCGAAAAAGGGAGGCATGACCGTGATTGAAAATGATAAAAATGAACTCATCCCAACGAGAACGGTGACCAGATGGAGGGTGTGTATGGATTATTGGAAGCTAAACAGTGGTACGTGCAAGGACCATTTCCCTATGCCTTTTATTGATCAAATGCTTGATGGTCTAGCAGGAAGCTCATTCTACTGCTTCTTGGATGGATACTCCGACTACAACCAAATCAATATTGCATTGGAAGATCAGGAAAAGACAATATTCACTTGTTCATATGGGACGTTTGCATTTAGCCGGATCCATTTGGGCTATGCAACGGTCCAACTACTTTTCAAAAGTGTATGATGCCAATATTCTCCGATATGGTGGAGGATTTCTTAGAGGTATTCATGGACGATTTCTCGGTTGTACATGATTCTTTTGAGCATTGTTTAGACAACCTTAGACAAGTGCTTAAGAGATATGAAGAAACGAACCTTGAAACAGACCTTGTGCTAAATTGGGAGAAATGCCACTTCATGGTGGACGAGGGCATTGTTTTGGGCCACAAAATTTCCAAACAATGCATAGAGGTTGACCGGGCAAAGATCAAGATCATTTCCAAGATTCCTCCATCTACTTCAGTTAAAGGCATCCGAAGTTTTTTGGGGCATGCTGATTTCTATAGGCGTTTCATCAAGCACTTTTCTAAAATTGCAAATCCCATGTGCAAACTCCTTGAGAAAGATGAAAAATTTGTATTTGAAGAGAAGTGCCTCAAAGCCTTTGAGGAATTGAAACAAAAGCTCACCACGACACCTATTATTGTAACACCCGATTGGTCTATTCCATTCGAACTCATGTGTGACACCAGTGGTATAGCTATTAGGGTAGTTCTTGGCAACATCATAACAAGGTTCTCCACCCGGTCTATTATGCAAGCAAGACACACAATGGCGCGCAAATAAATTATACGGGGACTGAGCAAGAACTTCTTGCCATTGTCTATGCCTTCGAGAAATTTCGGGCTTATTTGTTGGGATCCAAGGTGATAGTGTACACAGACCATGTTGCTCTTCGCTATCTTATGGCAAATAAGGATGCAAAACCTAGGTTGATTCGGTGGGTCCTATTGTTGCAAGAGTTTGACTTCGAAGTCAAAGATCGAAAAGGGACGGAAAATCAAGTGGCAGACCACCTATCAAGACTTGAAGGGGTAGGGATACCAAAGGAAGATCTTGAAATCAACGATGCTTTCCCAGATGAACAGATATATGCATTATCTAACACTTTTTCTCCTTGGTATGCCGACATCGCTAACTTCTTTGTTAGTGACCTTGTTCCCGAAGGTTTGGAAGCTTATCAAAAGAAAAAGTTTTTGCGGGAGTGTAGGCATTACTATTAGGAAGAACCCTTCTTGTTCAATAATTGTGCTGACAACATCACCTGGCGATGTGTTCCAGAATATGAGGTGATGCCAATTCTCAAGACATGCCATGATTTGCCGGTTGGGGGTCATCATGGAGGAAATCGGACTGCAGCAAAAGTGCTTGAATGTGGCTATTATTGGCCAACACTCTACCAAGATGCAAACCAAATGGGCAAGTCATGTGACCAATGCCAAATACAAGGGTCAATTTCTAAGAGACATGAGATGCCAATGATCTTTGTACTCGAGGTTGAGATCTTTGTTGTGTGGGGAATAGACTTTATGGGCCCCTTCATGAGCTCATATGGCATGACCTACATCTTGGTGGCTATGGACAATGTCTCTAGATGGGTTGAAGCAATCGCCTTATCGAACAATGAAGTAAGGAGTGTGACCGCATTTTTGAAGAAAAACATATTCACACGGTTTGGCTCTCCAAGGGCCAACCTGAGTGATGGTGGGACTCATTTCTGTAACAAGGCTTGTGCTGGGCTACTTGAAAAATATGGTGTAAAGCACAAGGTGGCCACACCTTATCATCCTCAGTCAAGTGATCAAGTTGAAGTTTCGAACAGAGAAATCAAGAATATTCTAGCGAAAACTGTTAATGCAAACATGACGACTGGTCAAGGAAGCTAGATGATTCATTGTGGGCCTATCACACAACATTCAAGACCCCCATTAGCACTTCACCATACAGGTTAGTTTTTGGCAAAGCTTGTCACTTGCCAGTAGAACTTGAGCACAAAGCTATGTGGGCTTTAAAGAAGCTAAATCTTGATTGGGCTGAGGCTGCTAACCTAAGGATAACACAACTCAATGAGATGGAAGAATTTCATCTTCATGCCTATGAGAATGCAGCCATGTACAAAGAAGGGATGAAGTTTTTCCACGACAAGAAGATTCTGAAATGGGATTTTAATTCGGGTGACTTGGTCTTACTTTTCATCTCAAGACTCAAGTTATTTCCGGGCAAACTCAAGTCCAAATGGTCTGGACCATTCAAAGTTGTGCGTGTGTCTCCCTATGTCTCTATTGAACTTGAGTCAGAAGATGGGACTCAGACCTTCAAGGTAAATGGACAACGAGTAAAACATTACCTCGGAACTGTCGGAGAAAGGCATGTGATAGAACAAACTGCTCTACGAGATGATCCAACAGCTTCTTCCACCAAAGATTAAAACAAAAGGGGTAAACTGCGTCGTGCCGCGACATTAAATCAAGCACTTCTTGGGAGGCAACCCATGTGTGGTAACACTCTTTTGTAGTGTTTTTAAATTTATTTATGTAGATTATATTGAGCAAGTTGACGTGTGTGCTAGAGTGCAGGTAAAATATCATGAACACGGTCTTAGTGCTGAAGAAACTGAAGGAAAAAGAGGTCCAAATTAAGCGACATCTATGCTGTCGAATAATGACTATGTGAACCGCATAGTCATCGTAGACCCAGGTAGAGTGTTTGGCTAATTTCATTTTCAACTTTGTGGTCGTTTGTCATTTATGCGGACCACATATCAAGTATGTGATTGGATCTTGCATCACATATTTGCACCCACACGACCCAATCATCGGCCACCACATAACACCTATGCGATCGCATAGTGTGTTATGAGATGGACTTCTCCACCGCATACTTGCCAGGTATAAAATTACCATCTCTCTGCACACATCTCATTTCAACGGAACAAAAAAACAAGTAAAAAAAAAAAAAAAAAAAAAAAAAAGAGAAGAGGCAAAAAGGAAATCGGTAAGATGAACGAGGGAAAGAGTCTAAGAACACTCACCATATTTCGTCAATTCCATCGTAGAATACTCAAAATTCAGGTATGATTATTTTTGACTTCTCTCCTCTGTTCTTCACTCGTATTTCTCTTTCTGGATTTTTTTCTTCCCCTGTGAAAACAACCAACTTCCAATGCCATGCATATCTGAAATTTTGTGCTTAAAAGGGGTCAAATTTATTTGAATTGCTTGACTAGCATAATAATGGAGTTCGTGCTTTTGATTTTAGTTGGTGAGGAGTCAATTGAGAGAGTGATTGTGTGCTTTTGGCCACAAACCCAAGAGGGGGAAGTCTGAGTACCCCTCTCTTCCTCTCTCTTGTGAAATAAATCATAGTGGATGTAGATTTTTGAATGAATAGAAAAAGGAACCCACGTGATTTGGGAGAGGGCTCATTTTCATTGGGGACGATGAGTTTTACGGGCCGCATAATGGCTTTGCAGTCCGCATAACCATCGCATTTTGCCCCTAGGTTTGAACGGGTTATACAGTCTCCTTTGCGATTGCATATCTGTTCTGCGGACCGCATAGGTGCCTCATACTGAGGCAGTCTTTTAGGTTTTCTAGTGTCTACTCTGCGGTATCTTTGCGATCGCATAACCACTTATGCGGTGGTTTTGCGATCGCATAATTATTAATAGCTTTTTTACTCCGCACAGATGCGATGGTTTTGTGGTCCGCATACTTGTTATGCAACCGCATATCCCATCGGATATATATATATAAAAAAATTGTTTTGTTCTTTTTCTTTTATATCCGATGTCTTCTCCTAAGCTCTTTCACTAAATCCTACAATGTTTCACACACAGGCATGGCACCAAAGAGGTCTAATCCAACACGAACACCGCCCAGTGGTCTACATAAACGGGCTGCCAATCCTAGACAACAAGCACAACAAGCAAAGAGGCAATGATCTAAGGCACTCTGCATTATGACTAAGAGCTCCTCCCAGTCTGATGAGGAGGAGCCAAAGAGTACCTCAAACCTCTAGTTGATCTACAGGCTGAGGCATGCAAGAAGCTAGGGGAGGACCTTAACATCCGGTTTGGGGTCAAGGGCTCCATAGATTTGTACAAAGCAGCACTCTCAAAGAGGAACATTCTTGAGGAAAAGCAACTGAGCTTGAATGGGATATCGGAGCACTACCCTCACATCCTTAAAAACGTCAAACAAAAGAAGTGGGAGTTTTTCACTGAGGCCCCGGATAACTACAATGAGGCAATTGTGAGGGAGTTTTATTCTTCCTATGGTGCCTCGAGGACTCCTTCACAGAAGTGCAACAGGATCTTTTCAAAGTATGTCTGAGTGCGAGGGGTTGAAATGGGTTGTGGTCCGGAGACGATCAATGAACAATATTTCAAGGATTGGCGGCCAAGAACAGCTGAATATGATGCCAAGGTAGCCAATAAGCACAATGAGCGTGCCTAGGTTTCATCAATAATGGCAAAGGGGACACCGGCCTGGATTGACTCGCAACACAAAATTTTCAAGGAGGATCTCACGAGGGAGGGTCGTTACTAGCTCAGCTTTGTTACATCTCCTCTGATGCTGTCCAGAAATGAAACTGAAATAAAAGAGATATTATTTCACTTGTGGAGAAATGGAGCAACATCAGCCGCTTACAATGTGGGGCGAGTCCCCTTTATATAGGAGGGGAGACACGGTTACAAGTATGTGGGGATTGGCTACAAAGTACCGTAATGGGATGGCTTGACATGATGCTTCAGTATAGGCTCTAGATAGGCTGGGTCTGTCAGATGTAGAAATGTGCCTAGAGGACTTCCCGCTCTGTCCTGGCTTCGTTCTTCATTTTCTCTGAGTCGGGCTTCGACGAGTCCCGAGGTCGAGGATTCGGTTGCGACCCCCTACCTTCGGGGTCCCGGGGCATGCTCCTAATATGTCTTGTCAGTGAGAAATCAAGTCTTCTGATTTTACCGCATACAGATAGTCTCCGCATTTCCCATAACGATGTGATGGGAAATGATTCTAACACTTGAATCCTCGAGCTTCTTTCGGCGACGCCACATCGATGATACGACCCCTGGCTCATGCTTTTCAACCACATTCATCGCACTTCTTGATTTTTGCTTCCCAAGGTACATGTACCGCCACCGGTTTAGTTTTTCATAGTTGTATTAACTGTGTCCCTTGGTCAGTCTTCAAAAGCATAGATGACCATATCGTAATCCCCTATAAATAGGGGATGCCTTGGCTTTGTTTCTCCTATCTCAATGCTTCTGCTGGCCTGCTTGCTGTTTCCTTCCTCTTATTTTCTTCCACCCTTGAACATCATGTTACGAGCTTATGACTTTAAGGCCGTTTGGAGGAGTTCCCTCAGACTGCATTATGGCTCCCTGCCGGGGTCTCCCTTCGTCAAACATAAGCGTGTTGTCCCGTTGTTGCTGTGGTCGTCAGTATGCTGGCCCTTGTTGCTGCTACTGGCCCGAGGTGATGGGGGACCGGGATTCGGCTTCCTTTTTATGTAGACAGTTGTTCGGATTATGCACCGCTGCTAACTCTCCTACCCAGGCCTGGTGTGGCACTTCATCACTAGGGTTTTTCCTTCCCCAAGGGATAAAGTGGCTCTACCGGTCGTTGAGACTGGGGCCCGCCAAATCTTCAACCTTTGGCTTCCGCGGGCCATGTGTCTTTTCTCTGCCTCCTCTGTGCCCCCTCATTTTCCTCTTCTTCATCTTCTCCGGTGGGGATCCCTCGGGGGATTGAGCTGGGAACCTATGGGAAGTAGAGATCGAAGGAGTAACCCTCAAGGACACGTGCTCGAGGGTGTGGCGCTCGAGGATGCTGATACCGGAGATGGATCCTTGAGGATGGACCGGTCGTCCGGGTTTTATCACATGTACATCCTTCCGTTCCTCTGCTTTAGGTGTAGACTCTTGTAGGCTTTTGTAATTGTATGTAACGACCCCTTGAGGGCTGCTTGTACGTAAATATTTGTGAATAAGAATATACTTTGTTGATTTCTGCCTTCCTTACTTTGCTTTGCTTCTGTATGCTCCCATGCCCTTCGAGGCCCCTTGAATGTTTTCCTTTGTTTGTTGATCGCTGATATCTAACTTGAGCGCGAGCGCTCACTCTGATCTTGTGTTGATCGACATGACTTTTCTCCGACCCCTCGTCGCACTTCGGACCAATCTTGGATTGATTCCGATAGCTCAGAGCTACCGAGGCCCTTCAAATTGTTTGGAGATCTTGCATCGAATTTCGGGGCCTTCAGGAATATTACCCCGGATGAATGTCATCTTCGGGTACTCAGGGTTCCCTATTGACCTTGATGTAGATAACCCTTTTAGGATGAATATGGTTGACTTCCACTGGGGAGTTTCACTCGTATTTGGGTGCTTCCTCGGGCCTTCGTGGAGCTTTCGTGATCGCAGCTTCCTGCGTTCACTCCTTTTTTCAAGAAGAGGGGATAGCAAGACTAGGTGCTTGCCGTGCGTTGAGTGTCAGCGTTTTAAAGTTTACCGAGGTCTGACTTCTTTGGGCCAGGGGTTTTTGACATAGAGTATTGTTCCGAGCATGGAGATAATACGAATGATTCCTTGAGTCTTGACTCCTCGTTCGGGGATTCTCTCTAGATTGAATATTGACCCATCAATCTGTATCGAGGCTATTGGCTTTCTAGGGCTTGCCTCGGGCTTGCGAATCGTTGATGTTTCTCGCATATATGCGGGGCGGCTTCTGCTCCCTAGCAAGACTTCACTACTTTTATATAGCTGCCTTTCTGCTTTGGCACGAGATACTTCATCTCTCTAGGCGCAAAAAATGTTGGCGCACACCCTTTCCTTGACCAGTTAGTTTCACCATAGTCATGGGAACCACTTTGGGGCCGATTTAGTAGGTGACAGGGGGCGCTGCTCCTGGTGCTCAGGAACCGAGGGATTTCGTTCTGGAGACAGCGTCCTTGATAAGAGAGAAACACTTGGAGATGGCGAGGAGATACTGCAGCTGGATCGAGGGGTCGACACTGCAGGTGCTTGCCTCAGATGAGGACACCGCGGACTCCACTAATGGGTTCTTGAGCGTATACCTATACCCTTTCGCATTTGGCCCCCTCGACAGGGTTGTACTTGATTTTTGTTTGACGTATCGGGTCACCCTAGCACAGATTCATCCGTCATTTTGGCGAACGACACTCATGATAAGATTCTTCGCGGAGAAGGTCGGGCTTGAATTTACGCTTGACCACCTTGTCAAGTTATATCGGCCATTTCATCATCAAGGCCTGCTAACTCTGAGGTGTCGTTAGTCCACGCCCTTTGTTGTTGACGACGAGGACGGCGGGGATCGAGAGTGGGCTAGTTGGTTTATCAGGGTCCGAACGACCGATATTATCTCTGTGGAATTTTTGCCATTTCCCGAAGGGTGGAATTATGCACGT